CTTCATATTTTTTTTTTAAACTGCCATAATTCCCAAACCCTACATTCCTGAGACATCATTTTTCATGACAAACGTAGGAAAACATCTCGTAGCTTGAAAAATGACAAATAATTAATCAAAATAATTAAACAAAATGCCTCTTGAGGGCATGAAGTGACAAAAACGTTCAACATGTCTCCATTAAAGCCCATTGTAATTTCAGGCAGATATTTCCTCACAGCAGCAGCCGCACACCTTTAGTTAAACTGCCAAAAAGGCCACATTATTAACCCGAAAGTACACAAAAATTACACTTCAGATACTCAACTTCCTTGACATGCTTCACGTTTTGAAATTTCACAGATATCTGTTATCGTTCTTCCACAAAACGTTCACATGTAAGAGGTTTATCTGTCATTCAGAACAATGCAAACCTTTGATCTCTTCATAGCTCGTTAGCTCAACTATAAACACCTGTGTAATGGAACACGATGATGTCATCACTCCAACTGACAGCAGTCAGTTCTAACTGTTCATTTCATACACACACACTCTCTCTCTCTCTCTCTCTCTCTCTCTCTCTCTCTCTCTCTCTCTCTCACACCGGTCCATGCCTCAACAGCTCTACGCCAAATCTGAGATCTCACCATATGCCGTTTCCATGGAAACGCATCCCTCGCCATAAAACACGATGTTGTCGTGATACCTATGCAAATGATCCAAACACCACCAGACTTCAGATGACAGTTAATGGTCCAGCCCTCAACATGTCTATATACCATTAGTGAGTTTTCCTCAAAAGCTGTTGCCATGGCAACAATTGCAATAAAACACGATATTGCTATAACTCCTATGAAAATTGTCAAAAAGTGCTAAAACTTCACATGTGTGCTAACAGTCCAGCCGTGAAGACATCTACGGGACAGTTTTGAGATTTCTTCAAATGCCGTTGCCATGGCGACAGACCACTCGCCATGAAACACGATGTCGCTGTAAGTCCAATCGACACGGTCCAATCGTCCCCCAATCTTCACTTGTATATCACCGGTCCATACCTCAACAGCTCTACGCCAAATCTGAGATCTCAACATATGCCGTTTCCATGGAAACGCATCCCTCGTCATAAAACATGATGTCGCTATAACTCCTGTGAAAATGTTCAAAAAGTGCTCAAACTTCACATGTGTGCTAACAGTCCAGCCGTGAAAACATCTACGGGACATGCCGTTGCCATGGCAACACAATGCCCGCCATGAAACACGGTTTTCTCATAACTTCAGTGAAAATGCTCCAAATGGCACAAAACTTCAAAGGTTTGGTAACACAGCCATCAACGCATCTAAGCGTATTATGGGATGTCATCAAATGCCGTTGGCATGGCGACAGATCATTCGCCATCAAGTTAGTTCAAAAGTTTGCATTTCAAATATTCTGCTGCTTTTCCAAGCCTTTTTACTTTCTTTACTTCTCTCATCACACATTCAAGCCCCCAGTGTTCATGTATCATTTCAATCTAAATTATTAATTTTCTTCTTACACATTACATTTCAGCATAAAGCATTCCCACTAGCAATTTCTTTAGGAATTGCATTCTCTAGTTGTAAATGATATGCTCCCATATGTATATACAGTATAGTATAAGCCTATAAGTGATATATTTTTATTCATTTTACTTTTAATTGTTAACTCTTTTCCACTTTTTAAGTATTTGTATTTTAATGTTGAAAACACTGGTCCTGTAACAAAATGATTTCCCACATTGGGATTAATAAAGTATCTATGTATCTATCTATGTATCTTATTCAAATGTCATTGACATAAATGCACCAAGAGATCACAAAGATCCAAAAAGGATTTGACTCCCCAGCAGTCGAGGAGGGAGAATGATTCGGCTCTGGCTGGACTTTCTGCTCCGTCTTTATCGTCCTCAGACTCCACTGGTCTCAATGTTCTTCAGCGAGTCGAGGAAGCACCACATAAAGAGCTGAGTGCTTCCTGAATTCCCTCTGACAAGCTGCCATGCTTCCCTCTTCCTCTATCTCCACCAAAAGCATCTGAAAACTGAAATACTAGAGCTTTAGGAAGAAAGATCAGAGTCTCAAGCCTCTTCTCAGAGTAACACCGCTGTAAAGCATCTTCTGCACCAATGATCTTCCATTACATCCATCAAGATAATCAGGATGTACTGTTATATGTGACAAAGAAACATATGAGCCATTTCATTCTTATAAAAGGCTTCCACACAACTAAGGTGCTAAATAGGTCCTTGTTTTCATATAATATCAGTTTTGAATCAATCAGCAACAAATTGTTGAATTGATTGATTCTGCAAACAGACAGCAGAGACAGAGACTGTGGTACCCTCTCTCTGGTCTCAAGTTCTTTGGTGGAGCTTTACTGAGTCCATTAAATACTATTTAAGGTACATCTCAATTTAGATTCTTGTTATATAACTTTATGCAGATGATATCCTGCTTTTTATTTCTTATCCTGGATTTCTTATTCTAATTAAGAATGTTTGATTAAAGTCAAGTTTAACAACACACGGACATCACACATGGATTTACTTAAACATCAGTGATAAGAGAGAGCTGTGTGGTTTACCATTGAAATGTTGATAGTATTGATATTGGTACAAATCTTGATTAACAAAAATAAAACTGGGAGGAATCCAGAAGTATATCCAAACCCTTAATATCATGAAAAAGTAATATGTGAAATATTGACTTGTTAATGTTGTGACTTTTGTGAATGAATGTGAATAAGGTTCCTTTTATATATAATATCTCAGAGAAAGGGAATCAAAACTCATTTTATAATACACACATTCATCTTTATTGTTTTAAAATGTTGAAACCATCGACACAAGCAGAAACAGGTTGATGTTGAAACATGTCCTGAGAGCCAGAGAGCAGACTGAGAGCAGTGTGAGAGAGAAAGCAGAGTCCCAGTGAGTCAGCTCAGGACTGGGAACACTGGTCTCTCCTCAGTGTCTCTGAGAGCGCAGTCTGGGAGCCCTGGGTGGCCTCACAGGTCACAGAGCCCACCTTCCTCCACTGGTCTGCAGAAAACCTCAGGGTGCTGCTCCAGCTGTAGTGGGCGTCCTTCTCCAGCACCCCGGGGCTCCTGCTCTCCTCCCAGCTGCTGCTGCTGCTGCTGCCGTCCACCTTCCAGGCCAGACTCCAGTCTGAGGGGAAGCCCTTGTTGGCCAGGCACATGAGCGTGGCCTTCCCCTGCTGCAGCTCTTCTGTGGAGGGGGCCAGCACCGTCAGGGTGGGACGGACATCACCTAGGAGACACCAATCAGATTAGAGGACAGGGAGCACACAGCTGTCAATCAACCAGCAGACACTGGGACACCTTTACTGTGAGAGCGCTTGTCCTTTAAGGAGTTTCTGTCAGATGTTGGTTCTGCTCCATCAGTCTCTCACTCACACATTGTTTCACTTCCCTTTAAGAAGCCTCTCATGCAAATCAGCACAGAGACACTTCCTACAGAGTCACCTGCAATATGTCAGACTAAATATTTGAAATAGTAGTTATCAAAATCATCCAAAACCTGAACTCTACAAACATTATTAAATTATTTAGTGGATAAATAAACAAATACAGGAAACGGAGCAATCAGCTGTGCTTAATGTGAATCTCAATCACTACCCAGTTTTACAAACTATAAAATAATGTCTGAAAGAATTCAACACATGTTTTAATATCCATCGTTATCTTTACTCCGTTCATCTGTATTTAAAAACTGTATCTGTAATTTATTTGAGAACAGAGAGGAGAACAGAGATAGACAATTTCAAAATAAGTTAATGAAAAATGATCAGTTTCATCATTTCACATTTGAAGCTGTTTAAATGACAGCATGTTGGGAATAAAGACATTTCAAGAAAAGCTGCTCTGACTTGGTCTCAATGATGAAGAGAAATAAAGACATGAATACTAATACTATCTAAACATTACAATTAAAATAATATAAATCTATCTCTCAAACACTCTAACACAGAATTTAAAACGTCTCTTAACATCATATTTAGTTTTTGTGCAGAAACTTACTTCCAACATCCAGTCTGGTTCCTCCACCAAAAGTCCACCACAGTGATACAAAGTCATTGAGCCGCCGTACAAAAAGCTCTCACTGTAGAGAGACAGGGCTCTCTGACTTTGACTCACTGAACTAAACCTACCAGCCCTCGAGAAGCTACTTCACCATTAAAGGTGGAAATAATGAATTATTCTGTGTTCAAAGTTCCATAAAAACATTTAAAGGTCTTTTGCTGGAGTAAAGTTAGCCTCTTAGTTCAGAATATTTGATAAGTATGTATACAATGACATGGAGAGGTAACTATTTCTCCGTACGCTGAATAATAAGTACAACAGAAGAGAAATTGCTCTTATGAATTAACATTTGACTTACTTCCAAACTCCAGTCTGGTTCCTCCACCGAACGTGTACCACAGTGATACAAAGTCATTGAGCCGCCGTACAAAAACCTCTCACTGTAGAGAGACACGGCTCTCTGACTTTGACACAAACAAACTCACCAAACACATCCACAGTTTACCCACTTGATATAATTACTGCTTCAAATGTTTGAAACAGATTCACACACTATGGAAAAGTATTGAATCTTTTTTTGTGAGCTGTTGCAAAAATACTCATATTTAATGAAGTAGATATTATTACGTTATTACTTAAGAAAAACTCTCTCATCAATCGGGCCAAATGGAAATCATTATCATTTTATAAAGGTTTATTTCAGATTGGTGTGGAGGAAGAGAGCATTGATTTGTGTGCTAGTGAATTATATGAAATTGAAAGATATTTGAGGATATAATAAGTGAGCCCTGACCCATTCCGGGCGGCAGTGCCCTTGAGCAGGGCACCGAACCCCCAAGTGCTCCGTGGCACATGTTCCTGTGCACCTATGTACTTGTAATGTGTGTGTGTATAAAGAAACAGAGTGGAAACTGAATGTTCCCCCAGGGGAGATCCATCTTCTTTATCTTCTTCTTGGTGATCAGTAATCCAGGTCCCTGTTGGAGTCAGAGCATTTCCATAGAGAGACACTTTGCATCAGCAGCACCATGCTCCAGTGCTCTGGGACACTTTATAGTCCTGAGAGTTGAGCACTGGATGACTGACAGCTGTCCTTCATGACAACAGAAGACACAGAAATCCTCCTCATCAAGAACATGACTCTGATCTGCGTCCTCATCTGGACTCTCCTCTGCTGCTGCTTCACAGGTAAAGTCCAGAGAATCAAACTCCTCTCCTCTGTGAACATCCGTCCCTCTGAAATGAAGCGGACAAAACCATGACGCTGCTTTATGTCTTTGTCTCTGTATCCTCAGAGTCCAGAGGCCAGTACACAGTGACTCAGTCTGGAACAGTGATCTCTGCTCCGGGACGCTCCGTCTCCATCACATGTACGACCAGTCAGAAGGTTTATGGTGGGAACTATTTAGCCTGGTACCAACAGAGAGATGGAGGAACTCCTAAACTGCTCATTTATTATACTAGCACTCGAGTATCAGGGATTTCAGACCGTTTTACAGGCAGTGGATCAAACTCTGACTTCACTCTGACCATCAGTGGAGTCCAGACTGATGATACAGCAGTTTACTACTGTCAGAGTTGGCATTACCCCAACAGTCAGAATGTGTTCACACAGTGAAAAAGCGTCGTACAAAAACCTCCCTCAGTCAGACTGAACAGGAACTGAGCTGACTGCTGCAGCTGGAAGCTACACTTCACTGAGGACACACACACACACACACACACACACACACACACACACACACACACACACACACACACACACACACACACACACACACACACACACACACACACACACACACACACACACACACACACACACACACACACAGACATATATATCGGGGCAAAGCAGCACAGAACACTTAGGGGAACACATAGCATCTCCTTCTCCACACGGCTAAGCTGCCAATAAAAGCTGAAACAGAGCAATATTTGGCAATTTGTTTGGCTTTTCTCTTTGACATTCCAGCAATTCTCAGACCAATCATGGTGTATTTATATACATGGCCAAGACTTCCGAATATGAGTATGCTATATCTACACTTGTACCCAAAGCTGGTTATTACATTACATTACATGTCACTTGTTAGACGCTTTTATCCAAAGCGACTTACACACTCAATACTGTGGACAATCCCCACAGGAGCAATTTGGGGTGAAGTGTCTCAGGGACACAACGACATGCTGACTGCAGTGGGGTTTGAAATAAAAAATCCTTGTTTTGAAATAACTCTGTCCCCAACAGCAGCACAAACTAAAATAACTGGAGAAATGTTCAAGTCCACAGGAACCTCAAACGGTTTGGTCATCATTTATGTAAACAAGTATTTCCAAGGCACACTTTTATATGATCATTATAGTTATACAAAATAAGAGAATAACAGGTATGAAATAATTCCAACTCATACTATAGTAACACACAAATACAGTTTAAAAGGGGAGTGATTTGTAAAATATCCATAAAGAAAAAGTAAATCTGTTTACAGTTCTGTTTCATATGGGTATTGTTGAGAGATGTATCCATAGATCTATAGTCCCTAATGTTGCTCTCAAAGTGCACCAGATTTATGCATTTAACTTCAACATTTAAAACAAATCTTCCCGGGGGAGCTAGCCCCCGGACTCCCCTAGAGGAGGTGAGGACCTCCCTAGAGGATGTTAGGTCCACAGTGTTTACATGCTTATTTATACAATATGTGTGCTTATGCTAACATCATAAGACAAAAGTTGGTTCCATGTTGTGTGAAGTGAGAACGCACTAGAGTGAGGGGGGCGCCCAAGCCAAAGCTCGCTTAGGGCCCCCAAAAGACAAGGGCCCTGCCCACACCCCCTGTCAAATTGTCCCACCCACATTGAGGATGCTTCCTACGCCCATGCTTAAATATATATATATATTTATCGTAATTCAAATATGAAACAAGTCGGAATATGCCAATCTTTTTTTCTTATTATCTTATTTGCTAAACGTTCTTGTATAGTAATATGCATGTGTTGTATTATTCTACGACGACTATTTATTAAAGTTCAGCAATAACCACGTTATCCCAGTACATCCATGGGACTGACGTTCTTAGGTGGGGTGATTCCGCTTTGAACAGGAATTTTGATAGCCAGTGTTCTTGTTTTCCATGTGCTCAATAAAGTTTCTTTAAAAAATATTCTAAAGAATTCAACCAATCAGAAGTGGACCCACTTGTCTTTTCATCCAATCAGATTCCGCAGCAATTGCGATAAATAGCCCCGCCTAGAAAAATACACCTGTTACTTCTTACCCTGGACTCATACAGGCCCTGCCGTGAGAGATAACTTTGCCTTTTCCTCTTCGTTATCGAAGCCCTCTGTCTTCACATCTTCAGAAAAATGGTGAGTACGATAGTACAGGTTTTCTCCACTTAGAGGATGTGTGTTTAACCAAATGCAGCGCTCTGAACGTGTGTCATCATGCGAAAACGTAACCAGCTTAAAGTTTTTTTAACCGCTTACTATTTAAAGAAGACTCATCATTTTTATAGTGAAACAAAAATGTTGCGGTGGAAGCTGTTAAATCAAGCTTCGTCGTTTTAACTCTGGTGTTGGTAAATTTAAGTGTAACTCGACGGCACAGTCAAGATGTTGAAGTGACGCATTTACAATCGGCGCGAATTGTTGGAAATAAATATACTTCCTGTCTCATTAGTGGCCAGGTTTAATGGTTTCATATTTAAAACATGATATGAACACAGATAAAACATTTGTTTCTGAATTTCAGTGAACCAGGGCGTTTTTACAACGTATGCTACGTCTGAAATGATTACATCAAAATATTTTCTTTCATTACATAGACTGGGTCAAGTGGATTTTATTTATTGACGTGCTTTGCAAATGCATTTTTCCGGCTTAACCTGGAGTAATTATTGTATTACGAAAAACAAGATAAGGACTTTGTGTTCCAATTTGTACTTTATTTAGGTCGAATTAGATGATTATTATGTGTGTTTACGTTCTGGCCTGCCACGCCACTCGTCTCCTAAAGGGGTGTGGCAGTGGCGCAATCCGTGTGACACAGTTGCAGAAAATGTAAATGCGTAGTCTCCTCTCTTAACACTGGCCCACATTCACGTCCAATCGTGCCACCTGTCTGCCAACAACTGCGTCATTGTGCTTTCGGTCTTACACGTATAAACAGTATTTAGCCTCTTTTTGTTTTGAATTATAACTGTCTTTCTGTTCAGATGACAAATGTGTGCGTCAGGTGACTTAAATCATGATATGATGTTTGGTTCTTATTAAAATAGCCTTTTTCTCTAGAGCAGTCCTCCCACATGTGATGATATGCCACTAGAATGTATGTTACACTGTTTTTGCACAAGAATCAGCCAACTAGGCTTCCTTTTTTATGATAGTTTCTTAACAACCTTTTTTCCCTTTCACAGCGCGAGTGCCTCTCAATCCACGTTGGTCAGGCTGGTGTGCAGATTGGCAATTCCTGCTGGGAGCTTTACTGCCTGGAACATGGGATCCAGCCGGACGGCAGGAAGCCTGGTGACCAGAACATCTCAGGAGGAGGAGGGGACGATTCCTTAAGCACCTTCTTCATGGAGACTGGAGCTGGAAAGCACGTCCCCAGAGCAGTGTTTGTTGACCTGGAGCCCACTGTCATCGGTACATTCTCATTCATTATAAATGATAAAAGTATCATAAATGCCTTTTCCCCCTCTGTCATTCAAAACCTTCAATAATCTAATGCTCATTACCCTTAGATGAGGTGCGCAAGGGGACTTACCGCCAGCTGTTCCACCCTGAGCAGCTGATCACTGGCAAGGAGGATGCTGCCAACAACTACGCCCGAGGACACTACACCATCGGCAAGGAGGTCATCGACCTGGTGATGGACAGAATCCGAAAGCTGGTCAGTACATTTAGAACAGAAGTCCATTTTTCTGAAGAGTATTAAATGGAAATGAATCAGTTTATTGCTAAGTAGGTTTTCACATACAAGGAGTATGCAATCATATTGTGGTGAATGGCAAACATAAGTATTGCAAAAGCTAAGTGTCATAACTAATAATAAATATGTGAAGTATATGTTTTAAAATGTAGAGTTGTACAGTGTTTTAAACAAACACAAGACATAACAATCTGGTATCACTCTTTCAAAGTGAGCATATTTCCCTGATTCTGGCCCACTTGCATCGGCTTCCTCCACCCTGCAGAATTCAGTTTAAGATCCTCCTGATCGCATTCAAAGCCCTCCATGGTATGGCACCCTCTTATCTCTGATCTGTTTTCATTGAATCTATATGTTTACATGCTGTGCACTAATATGCTTTTTTATCATTAGCTGTGAACCCTTGGCACTGCTGTCTTTGTATTATATAAATACGTTTATTAATATTATTTCATGATTTTCTCTCTTTCTTTCAGTCCGACCAGTGCACCGGTCTTCAGGGTTTCCTGGTGTTCCACAGCTTCGGAGGGGGCACCGGCTCTGGTTTCACCTCCCTGCTGATGGAGCGTCTGTCCGTCGACTACGGCAAGAAGTCCAAACTGGAGTTCTCCGTCTACCCAGCTCCCCAGGTGTCCACCGCTGTGGTGGAGCCCTACAACGCCATCCTCACCACCCACACCACCCTGGAGCACTCTGACTGTGCCTTCATGGTTGATAATGAGGCCATTTATGATATCTGCTGTAAAAAGCTGGATATCGAGCGTCCCTCTTACACAAACCTGAACAGGTTAATGAGTCAAATTGTGTCCTCCATCACTGCCTCCCTTCGTTTTGATGGTGCCCTCAATGTTGATCTGACAGAGTTCCAGACCAACTTGGTGCCCTACCCCCGTATCCACTTCCCTCTGGCCACCTATGCCCCTGTTATTTCTGCAGAGAAAGCTTACCATGAGCAGCTCTCGGTGGCAGAAATCACTAATTCCTGCTTCGAGCCAGCCAATCAGTTGGTGAAATGCGACCCACGCCACGGTAAATACATGGCCTGCTGCCTTTTGTATCGTGGTGATGTCGTTCCCAAAGATGTGAACGCTGCCATTGCCACCATCAAAAGCAAGCGCTCCATCCAGTTTGTGGACTGGTGCCCCACTGGTTTCAAGGTGGGCATCAACTACCAGCCGCCCACTGTAGTTCCTGGTGGAGACCTGGCCAAGGTCCAGAGGGCTGTGTGCATGCTGAGCAACACCACTGCTATTGCAGAGGCCTGGGCTCGGCTGGACCACAAGTTTGATCTGATGTACGCTAAGCGTGCCTTTGTGCACTGGTATGTGGGTGAGGGTATGGAGGAGGGAGAGTTCTCTGAGGCCAGAGAGGACATGGCCGCTCTGGAGAAAGATTACGAGGAGGTTGGAGCTGATAGCCTGGAAGATGAGGAAGAGGAAGGAGAGGAGTATTAGAAAGCTTTATTGATCTCTGATCCATGTTGTTTTATTAATGTCAAGAAAATAAAGTTGTTCATTGACTGAACCTGAACCTATGCTTTCCTCTCATCAATAAATACACTGTTAAACATGACCTATCTGCCTAGATGGGTTGTATGTATTCACTTGCTCAGTTCAATCAAACATGTTTTCACACAGAGATGCTATTGCTCAATTCAGTCACTTGGAGGCAGTGGTGTTTAACATGTATATATCTTTTCTCTGAACAGACCAGTCATGGCAATCTAGTTAAATGCTAGATTAATCACTACATTATTTCTCAACATCAGATGATTCAAGAGTACCATTTGCATATCTTACATTTACTTATTTAAGATTGG